CAACTTGGCAAGACCTCATCTCTACAATAAATCAAAAAATTAACCAGGCATGGTGGCGCATGCCTGTAGTCCTAGCTACTTGGAAGGCTAAGGTGGAAGGATTGCCTGAGCCCAGCAGGTCAAGGCCATGGTGGCCGTGAGTGTGCCACTGCATTCTAACCTGGGCAGCATAGTGAGACTCTGACTCAAAAGAAAAAAAAAGATATGTCAGGCTAATCTTATATATTTCCTTCCACAGACCTTGAATTAACTGTTTCTCTATGAACTCTGGATGTTTTGTGTAGGACACTGCAGTTGGAGACTCTAATCTAGATCCCATGAGTGCACTTTATGAGTGGGTTGTCAGAACTTCTGGAGTCAGGATCTCAGGTTGGAGCACAGTAGCACAATTATGGCTCACTGCAGCCTCAACCTCTTGGGCTCAGGCAATCCTTCTGCCTCCGCCGCTTAAGCAGTCCTGCCTTAGCCTCCCAAAGTGCTGGGATTATAAGCGTGAGCCACCATACCCAGTCCTGAAGTAATTCTTTTTGAGGGACTTATCCTATCATATTGACATAATTAGATGCATTTGTTTCCTTATATTTTCCATCTTGGAAAGTTATTTCAACATGTTTGCAAAGTCAAAGCTGTATAAGAAGAAGGTATAGTCAGAGAAATCTCCCAAGCCTGCCATTCCTTCCCTCACTTTGTGGGTGACAATTCCTTGTCCTGGTTTATCCTTCATTGTCTTTAAGAATAGATGCAAAATACAGCTTGCTATCAACTCTGTTCTGCACCTTTTTTTCCTTACTATTTTTTTGAAGGTGTCTGCATATAAGTAAGTAGTAATTTTCCTCATTTCTTTATACAGCAATACAATATTCTGTAGATGTACTATTATTTATTTAGGCACGCCTATTGATGGGAATTTCAGTGGTGTACAGACTTTTGCTGTTAAGAATTATGTCATGGTGGGGCTCGGTGGCTCACGCCTATAAGCCTAGCACTTTGGGAGGCCGAGGTTGAGAGGATTGCCTGAGCCCACGGGTTTGAGATCAGTCTGGTCAGCTTTGCAAGACCTCATCTTTACAATAAATCAAGAAAAATTAGCTGGACATGGTGGCGCATGCCTGTGGTTCCAGCTACTTGGAAGGCTGAGGTAGAAGGATCGCCTGAGCCCAGCAGGTCGAGGCTGCGGTGACTGTGAGCATGCCACTGCCCTCCAGCCTGGGTGACAGAGTGAGACTCTGACTCAAAAAAAGAATTATGTCACAATAAAAATCATATGTATGTGCTATATTCTATTTTACCTAGTGTATCTTGGAATAGATTCCTAGAAGTGAGATGGCTGTGTTAGAGGGTGGCTATATATGGAATTTGACCATCTACAGCTAAATTCTGTTTCTTACGGATTAGTAGTTTTCACTCTCATCAGTAGCGTTACAAGAGCCGGGCTCTTATATACTTGGTTTTTGCCAATCTGAGAGGTAGCCTAATAAACATTTAATTTGTGTTTTTCTCATAAACAAGACTGAGCGTCTTATCGATGTCTAAGAGCCTTTTACTTTTTTTCTGTGAGATGCTCATTTGCCTGTTTTCTGTCAATGTATTCATCTTGCTCAGTTTTCAGGAGCTTAGCGTGTTAGAACTTTTAAAAATCCTTCATCAGTAATACACGTTAACAGATCATTGTTTCCAGTTTGTCATTTGTTTTTTGATCTTGGTGTGTTTTGCTTTGTGGAAATTTTATTCTTTATTAATCTTGTATTATTTTGAGTCATTGTTAAGAAAGTTTTTTTCACTTCCAGATCATAAGAAAATTTATCCATATTTTCTTCTGGTGCTTGTAAGAGTGTTCTTATATGTCAGTTTCTGGTCTATTTGGAATGTATTGCAAATGGAGTCAGGCACTGATCCAGTTTCACCTTTTTCCACATGGCTGTTGAGTTGTCAGCATCATTTTTAAAAGACACTCTTCCCAATGACTTGAGCGGCTGCTTTTATCATGTCCTAAATGTTCCTATTGACTTAGGTCTGTTTCTGGGTTTTCATTTCTAGTCAGTGGGTGTCTCTGTACACTAATACTTCCTATGTTAATGGTGAGTGTTTTCTGTTTTAACATCTAGTTACTGCTATTACCACCTCCATCCTGCACTATTCCTTTTCAGGGTTTTCCTGTCTATTCTATTCTTGCTTGTTCTATCATGCAACTTTATAAGCAACTTTTTGTTTGAAATTACATTAATATTTTTAATTAATCTTGGGATAATTGGCATCTTTATGATTTAAACCTCCTTTTAGATCTTTTTTTTTTGTGAGTTGGTGTCCTACTCTGTTGCCCAGACTGGAGTGCAGTGGCCGCTCCCAGCCACCGCAGCCTCGTCCTGCTGGGAGCTGGTGATCCTGCCACCTCAGCCTTTCAAGAAGCTGGAACTTCAGGCGCACGCTACCACGCCCGGCTAATTTTTTATTTATTGTAGAGATGAGGTCTTGCCAAGTTGCCCAGATGGGTCTCAAACCCACGGACTCAGGCAATCCACTCACCTCAGCCTCCCAAGGCGCGGGATTACAGGCTGAGCCACTGAGCCCGGCTTTCTTTTAGATCTTCTAAGGGATGTTTTCTAACTTTTTTTTTTTTTGAGTTGGAGTCTCACTCTGTTGCCCAGGCTGAAGTGCAGTGACATACTCACAGCCACTCCAGCTTCAACCTGCTGGGCTCCAACAATCCTTCTGTCTCAGCCTTCCAAGTAGCTGGAGCTAAGGTGCGCGTTACCACGTCCAGCTACTTTTTTTTTTTTTTTTTAATTGTAAAGACATGGGCTCAGCAATCCATTCGCCTCAGCCTCCCAAAGTGCTGGGATTACAGGCTGAGCTGTTTTATGTTTTTTTTCTTGTGCTTATTGGAAATGTGTCTTATTTTTCATTGCGTCTTATAACTGATTGTTGTTTGTAAAAATTAAGGCTGTGACTTCTGGATTCTAGTATTTTCTCTCTGCAATAAACAATTTAATAAGTAATAGTTTTTTCTGGGTTCCTGGGTATACAGTCATATGCTTCTTCCTGTCCAACCTTTGTGGCTATTGTGTTTTCTCTCCTTTTGAGGGATATAATCTAACAGATGTGAAGTACCAGTGCAGGTACACTTGAACTCACACTGTTCTAACAGAGGGATTGGGGTTGGTAGGCAAAAACAGGCAAGGATGGTGTTCCAACTAGAGAGAATGTCATGGAAAAATATGCTTTTTTAGATTCTGCAAATATTTTTGTTTTCTTTTATTCTCTTTTTGCTATAGGCCTCAGCAACTGTTGCCATTCCCAAAGAACACCATCGCTTTGTTATTGGCAAAAATGGAGAGAAACTGCAAGACTTGGAGCTAAAAACTGCAACCAAAATCCAGATCCCACGCCCAGATGACCCCAGCAATCAGATCAAGATCACTGGCACCAAAGAGGGCATTGAGAAAGCTCGCCATGAAGTCTTACTCATCTCTGCCGAGCAGGTAAGACTTATGTGAATACCCTGCACTCCTGCCTGCCTGCTCAATGCAGACCACATTGTTCATAGGTTGCCATGTCCTGGGGTGACCCTTAAAGGCCTAGTTGGTGGTGTTGGGGGCAGCTCTGACCCTACAAAGCCCGGTCTGTCCCCAGGTTGTCAAAGCCCTGTTCTCATCAGTCCATTCTTTCCTTTCTAGGACAAGCGTGCTGTGGAGAGGCTAGAAGTAGAGAAGGCATTCCACCCCTTCATTGCTGGGCCATACAATCGACTCGTTAGCGAAATCATGCAAGAGACAGGGACTCGCATCAACATCCCCCCACCCAGTGTGAATCGGACAGAAATCGTCTTTACTGGAGAGAAGGAACAGTTGGCTCAGGCCGTGGCTCGTATCAAGAAGATTTATGAAGAAAAGGTATGTGGTTTGGAGGAGGTGGTTCCCCACAGGCAGGAATAAAGACTGGGATTTAGGGTGGGCATGGTGGCTCAGCCTGTAATCCTAGCACTTTGGGAGACCGAGATGAGAAGATTGCCTGAACCTGGGGATTCGAGACCAGCATGGGCAACTTGGTGAGACCTCGTCTCTACAATAAATCACAAAAACTAACTGGGCTGGCGGCTAGAACTGCGTCTGTAGTTCCAGCTACTTAGAAGGCTGAGGCAGAAGGATCGCCTAAGCCCAGCAAGTCATGACTGCATTGGCTGTGATGGTGCCACTGCACTCCAGCCTGGGAGATAAGAGTGAGATTCCAACTCAAAAAAAAAAAAAGGCTGGGCTCAGTGGCTCAGCCTGTAATCCCAGCACTTTGGGAGGCTGAGGTGAGTGGATTGCCTGAGCCCGTGGGTTCGAGACCTGCCTGGGCAACTTGTTGAGACCTCATCTCTACAATAAATCAAAAATTAGCCAGGCGTGGTAGTGCGCACCTGTAGTTCCAGCTACTTGGAAGACTGAGGCGGAAGGATTGCCGGAGCCCAGCAGTTCGAGGCTGCAGTGGCTGGGATTGGCCACTGCACTCCAGTCTGGGTGACAGAGTGAGACTCCAACTCAAAAAAAAAAAAAATACTGAGATTTGAGTCTGAAGATTTGGTTGAGACCCAGCTCTGACCCTTACCTTTTTATCGTTGATCAAGATGCTTATTGTGTTTCCTCTTCAGTATTAGATTGGTGCCCATACCTTCCTTCCCAACTGTTGGACATTCTGCAGGGCAGTTGTCCTCGCTGTCCAGTCTCTATATCCCTGTCCGGGCCTCTGACTGTACTGGCAGGCTGCCAACTGGAGCTGCTCCAGGGGCAAATGTTCGGCTTAGAGTTGTTCACATTTTTGACTAAGCAGTTAACTCCAGTTGGTGAATTTGATGTCTAAAATTCATTCCTTAATTTGAGGAAAGAATTTAGTGTTTTCAAGTGTTTTGGGATGAAATTATCCGTTTTAGAATAAGTAGATTGAGGGGGGAAGAGTCTAATCCATGAGAAGTGGAGTTTCTGTGGATTGGCTAGTCAGGGTTGTCACTTGTTGGGGGATCAACATCTATAATTCTAGGGTCTGGGGCCCCTTTGTCTTGCTTGCTACTTTTTGGGTGGTGATGTTCTGCTTCAAAGGTCTTTCCCTTTGACTACACTTATGATACTCTTATTTAGAAAAAGAAGACCACAACCATTGCTGTGGAGGTGAAGAAATCTCAGCACAAGTATGTCATTGGGCCCAAGGGCAATTCATTGCAGGAAATCCTGGAGAGAACTGGAGTTTCTGTTGAGATCCCACCTTCAGATAGCATCTCTGAGACTGTGATACTTCGAGGAGAGCCTGAAAAATTAGGACAGGCATTGACTGAAGTCTATGCCAAGGTAACTGCCTCCAAGACTGAAGTGTGTCTCTTTTATGAAGTCTGAGGAACTTTTATGGACTAGCTCTTAATTATTAAATCCTATGGCCTTGACGTAATGAATGTGCCCAGGTTGGGGAAGCACTTACCTCTCAGCCCCAAGTGAACGACTTGGCTTTTGTTTTGACATGACTAACCTTGAGCTCTGCAAACCTGTAGCTGTTCTCCCATTTTTCTTAGGCCAACAGTTTCACTGTCTCCTCTGTTGCTGCCCCTTCCTGGCTTCACCGTTTCATCATTGGCAAGAAAGGGCAGAATCTGGCCAAAATCACTCAGCAGATGCCAAAGGTAAGGAAACATTTTACATCTGTTAGGTTTATCTGTTTTTCTATCATCCCATTTCTGATACTGTTTTGTGACTGTTTGTCCTGTGACCTTTGAAGAGTACGGCATTTTTTTCAAAATCATTTGTCCTGCTTAGCACACAGTTTCCATGGTTAGCAAAGGATAGCAGAATAAATGTTTTTAGATGTCTATGCCATTCTTCTGTCCTTAGCCAGAGAAGATGTGTATTACTAGGTTTAATAACTATCGTAAGAAACATATGTTAATTATTATGCTAAAATAACTTCATGATAGCTTGAAGAGTAAAACGTGTATACAAATTATGTTACGTGTGAATTTAAAGCCTTCTCAGTTTACCAGTGGAGATAGTAGCACCCAGGAAACTTTAATAGGAAGGAAATGATAGAACCCAGACATCACGTTTTGTTCCTGTTCTGTTTAGACTTAGTTTCTAATTTATGTTTTAGTCATTTTACTCTTTTCTGACTTCACTCTCCTAGTTCACGCAGATGTAATTGATCCATGGAACCAGTTACTCTTCTTCTACTCCTCACCTTGACTGTTACTTACCAGGAGGGTCAACAGCCTTGTCCATGTAGAGCAAGTTATTTACCACCTTTAGGGCAGGTGTACATTGTTTAAAATTTTGTCCCTGATGTCTCATTCTTTATGCAACCAAAAAGGAGTAGGTCTTGTAAAAGTTGAAGACGCATGAACACATGAACAATGGCATGGCAGTATTTGTGTACTTTTAAGTTAGTTGCTCTGGGACAAGCACAGTGTTCTTGGTGAAAGGAAAGCTTATTAGACCACAATATTTAGTTCCATGGTAATGGGTCTCCTCAACCCTTGCTTTCAATTTTGCCTGGTGTTTGTGACCCTCCCTCCTCTACATTTATATGAAGCAATTTGGGATCAGCTGCTGCCCCAGGGGAGTACCCTTGGGCTCTGAGGTTCACAGATGCGCATGGCTACCCAGACAGTTAGCTAGGACCAAAACCCAGTTGCCCAGTTGTATACTGGGAGCTGAGGATACTGCAGCTGTGCCATTTAGTCTCAGCCATCTCTTTTGTTTTGGTGTGTTAGGTTCACATTGAGTTCACAGAGGGTGAGGACAAGATCACCTTGGAAGGCCCTACAGAGGATGTAAATGTGGCCCAGGAACAGATCGAAGGAATGGTCAAAGATTTGGTAAGGTGCCCTTTTGAGCATTCTGTGTGCAGGTGACAAGGGAGGCTCTGGTAAGGTGGACACAGGCAGTCACCTTCTAAGTGAAATCCCAAGTGGTTGGGCATAAACACCACCGTGTGGCCTAGTTGGGTGAGTAATAGGTTCTGAAACAACTAGAAGCTGGCTGAAGTCTCAGAAGAGTCATGGGTAGAAGAAACCTTATTTGGAAGAAGGGTTCTTTCAAGGGGGCCAGAGTTAGTCTTGTAACAATCCCTGACAGTGGAGTGGTTGGAAAAGGCAGCTATGGAGGCTTCTAGGTTTGGGTTCTGACTCATTGTTTGAGTAACCAGTCACATCCGTGGACCTTGTGCTCCTCCTGCAGATTAACCGGATGGACTATGTAGAAATTAACATCGATCACAAGTTCCACAGACACCTCATTGGGAAGAACGGTGCCAACAGTGAGTGAGGCTGACTGATGGCAGCAAGACCAGGGCACCCTGTGACCCTTAGGGATATCATCTATGAGAACTAGTGCTGCTGGTCATGGAGTTTCTGACTGCACATTCTCTTCTACCTGCCGAAAGATGCCATTTTCCTTTCCCCTTGGGGCTGTGGTTGGTTTAGAGCTATTTGGCCTACAGGTGAACCATTATGTTCAGAAATCCATGAGCAACCCTTCCTGGAGAACCCACAAGGCCATGGTGGAGTTATGCCCAAGGCATCCTTCATACTGGAAGGGCCCCAAAAAAAAAATTTTTGGAAGGCGGGCCCCTTTTAGTACAGGCTTTCCCCACTAGGCAAGTGTTCTAGGAACCCACCAACATCAGTACACCAGCTAGCGTTGTTGTGATAGGCTGCATTTGCTTCAGTGAATTTTTTTCCAGATTCTTTGAATGTGTTTGTCCATTTCATGATGAGTGGTTTACCAGTACACCTATCCACATATTGCTGAGTGTTTTGACCAAAAATGACATGATCCTCCCCATGCCCCACCTTCCCTATTCACCCCATCTTACCCTTAGCAATTTTGCTTTTCCTTGGATGAAAAAATCCTCAGAGAAATGTTTTGCCAACATGGAGGAGGTAAAACAAAAATGACAGAAGCACTAAAAGGCTTCGAAACGTTTTGAGCAGTGAAAAAGGCATCTTGATAGGTGTATTGCATCAAACAGAGTTTACTTTGAAGGTGACTGAAGTTTAAATTTATAAGAATAGATACAATTATTATAAATTCCAGATTTCTTTAGATCCTCTTCATATTTCAACCAGACCTGCTGAGTTTAGCCCACCAGTTTGTTAGTGTTCATGCATTCTACTAAACATGGAAATGACTAATCTAGAATTCAGTCAGAAGTAAGAAATTTATAGATTCCTGCCCAAGTGAAACAACTCAGGGAGGGATTCTGTTGAACATGGAATAACATGTCAGTCCAGGTTTGATGTTTAACTTCGTGGTATCAGGTTGTAGGTATAGCACAAGTATACGATGACATCAGAAACATGCTAAGTGAGCACTCAGCTGCAAGTCCGAAGGTATTTTTTAAACCTCCCTCACTTAGTTTAAGTGCATGGCTGTACCCGTACATCAGTCCTTGTATATTCTGAAAACAGTCCACAGGGTGAACACACACCCCATTACTGGATTACTCTGTGGACAAAGGATTGTTTCCTGGGTTTTTGGAACTCGACCTATGTAAACCTGACTGACACCTGTGTAATTAGTTGTCAGCTCTGCTGTGGCCTGTGTCGCAGTAAACTCTCTGGTACCAGTCTTAAGTTCTTTGGCATTTTACATAATGGGGAATCTACAGGCACAGAGTGACCTCAGTCAGTGCTTGTTTTTGTACACTGCCTGACCCATGCATATACCATAAACTTACTTTTGTGGGGGTTTTTTTGTTTGCTTGTTTGTTTGTTTGTTTTGGCTAACTGTAGTATTTACTTAGACAAAAAAAGACATTAACTTCTGTTTTCTGCTCCCTAGAATTTTACAACTTAACTTAGTGTGATCTGAGTTATGTCTGTTCTGTTTTCTTCTGATCCAGTTCTTAACCCTCATTTTCTTCCTTACTCTAATTACTGCCCAACTCCTGTGTCTTTTGCTCTTTTTGCCTTGTGTTCCACTCTGGAACAGCCATATCTTCATGTCAGTCCCTATCACTCATTGCTTCATTGCCTCCCCTATACATGCATGTGTTTGGAAGCAATGCACAGAGCCCTCTTGATGGTCCTTCCAGTTAGCATGGCTTTCCTTGACTACCCAGTGGGCAAAATGCCTGCTTTGTTTCTTGGTGATAAGGTTTCTCCAGGGTTTGGGGGGGACCTGGATCTCAAACTGAGGACACTAGATTCTGTCCAGAGAAAGTGGAGGCAGGAGGTTTGCAGCTGTACTTATCTTGCAGAGATAGTGAAGAGCTCAGTTTGGATCCGAGCTCACAAAGGAGTCTCTAGGCAGCAACATTGTTGCCATGAGTCTCTTAGATGTCACTGGTGCTTTTGTCTTTACTTAGTGTGTGTAATTTTTTAACTTGAGAATAGTAATTCTCAAACTAGCTTGTGCATTAGAAGCCTGGGATCTTTTAAGTATTCTGAAGCCCCAGACTAGCTGAATCTCAGATTGTGGGTGGTCCCAGCCATCAGTCATTTGAAGGTCTCAGGGCATTGCCAACTTGTGGTCAAGGCTATGAGCCCATGCTACAGAAACCTTGCAATCCAGGGGAAGATTATAACAGCTAAATTTTAGACAATGAGAATTCTTATTTTGGAAGCTTACTGTCATTTTTGGTGAATGGGAATGACTGATAAAGTTATTCAGGGCTTTAGCCATAACTATTTGTTAATCTTTGGTGGAATATTGTAGGTTCTCTGTCCAAGATGTGTTTCTTTTTGTGTTTCTAAGTAAACAGAATCAAAGACCAGTACAAGGTGTCTGTGCGCATCCCTCCTGATAGTGAGAAGAGCAACCTGATTCGCATCGAGGGAGATCCACAGGGCGTGCAGCAGGCCAAGCGGGAGCTACTGGAGCTTGCGTCTCGCATGGTAAGCCCTATGGCCCAGGCCTGACACAAAGGCACTGGCCTTGCATCTGTTGCTCCCTCTAAGGAGTAGCATATTGAAGTGTCTGGCCTTGGAGAATGGAAGTCAGCAAATCCCATGTTGAGTTGGAGCCAGTCTGGCTCCTCAGGAGCTATATATCTTTTTTCCTTTCTAGGTCACCAACAGATCTTGTCTCCATGACCATATGGTATACTAGAAAAGCATGAGCGCTGTGCAGCAGGGTCTCATCCTTGGCTACACTCCAGGGTCCCAGATGCTTGGGTATCAACTCCAGAGATTGTGATGGACATTTCTGGATTATTAAAGCCATCTCAGATGATTCTTATGTAAGGCCAAAGTTGAGAATCACTGCCGCATCATTACCTGCAAACCCGGGACAGAGGCTGTTACCCTTTACCCTGGGTAAAGTGCTGCCATTTTGCACATGCTGTGCCAAGCTACAAGTGCTCTTGCTTCCATGGGTCAAATGCCCACAGCCATGCAACAGTGTGTCTCAGACTTGCTGTACTTGAGTCACTGGTTGTCTTTAAAAATCCAGAGAAGGCTGAGCATGGTGGCTCAAGCCTATAATCCCAGCACTTTGGGAGACCAAGGCGAGAGGATTGCCTGAGCCTGCAGGTTCGAGACCAGCCTGGGCAACATGGTGAGACCTCAACTCTACAATAAATTTTTTAAAAAATTAGCTGGGTGTGGTAGCATGTGCCTGTAGTTCCAGCTACTTGGAAGGATGAGGTGGAAGGATTGCTGGTGACTGGGAGTGTGCCACTGTACTCCAGCCTACGCGACAGTGAAAGTCCAACTCAATTTAAAAAAAAAAAGGAATCCAGAGAGGTCAAATACTGTGTAAGTACTTGTAGCAGTACTTTTGCCTGCATGGGATAGGAACAGGCCTCAGCGTTCCTCCCTCTCATTCACTTACTTCAGGCATTCTTTGTTCACTGTCTTCACCCCAGTATTTACGTCTGGAGTCTCAAATTGGCGGACCTATTTTATCTCCCTGAACTATAATCCTGGTCATGGTGTGGGCTCACATTGCTTGTGACCTTCCCTGAGCTCATTCCCCAGTTTTGTAGCCCTCCTGGCGTCCTCATCGTAGCCATCTTCCAGGGTTCCTTGCTCTGGAATGTCCTTTGCCTATACTGAATTTCCGATTGCCGAGCCCTTATTTCACTGTCAGACAATACTAATCTGATCCAAAGTCTCTGGGAATTCTTTGAACCATTTGATAGGCTTAGGGTGTGCATCCCTGGATTCCAGCTCTACTTTGTTTTCTGTGTTTCTTCTGACATTTGAATGGGACCTGTGGAGGAGGTTAAGAACCATATGGGTTCACTGCCATGTGTTAAGCATTCTTTCTTAATTATGCACACAGGAAAAGTACATAATTGTATTCAGGAGGGATCACTCCCTGCTACACAGAGCACTAAATCTCCAAGTAGAAGAAATGAGTTCACCTCTCATTCCTGTTAAAATGGAAGTGCTCACTGAGTTGCTTTTTAGATTACTGCTACCATGCTAGCACTTGAGGATGAAAGGTCCTACAGTTGGTTCTTTAATTGTACTTTGTTTAGCAAAGGAATGTGTACCCAGTGTAATTTGGAGTGTAGTGATTGTTGGAGAAAGCACACATCTTGTAAGGGCACTTTCTGTTGGCCTGTTGCTCCCAGGGGATGCTGCCAGGTGCTACCTGGAGACCCCTCACTTGCTGCTTAGCAGCAGCTGGACTATAACAGCAGCCTCGAAGGGCTGTGCCCAGGCCTCCTGATACCTCCTGTGTGAAGGGAGTTGCTCACCTGGCTTGTGATAAATGACATCATCTACTTATTATAATTTTAGGAAAATGAGCGTACCAAGGATCTAATCATTGAGCAAAGATTTCATCGCACAATCATTGGGCAGAAGGGTGAACGGATCCGTGAAATTCGTGAAAAATTCCCAGAGGTAAAGCTTTTCCAGAGACATTCTTTAATTCTCTAGGAGTAATCTGAGTCACGTGTTAGAAATATTTGGTATTTGGGAATCCTGTCCTTCCTAATAATCAAACTCAGTTTCCTGATGATTTGTTCTAGGTTATCATCAACTTTCCAGACCCAGCACAAAAAAGTGATATTGTCCAACTTAGAGGGCCCAAGAATGAGGTGGAAAAATGCACAAAATACATGCAGAAGATGGTGGCAGATCTGGTAGGAGGAATGTTGTATATTTCTTGTTGTGTGACAGAGTTGGGGTGGGTGGGTCAATGGAGGCATGTGTCCCATCAGAACTCTTCATTCTCATTCCCAGGAGCTCTGCTTTGAGAAGTGCACTTAGGCACTGAGCTGCTCTACTGTCTCAGGGGCTTGAGAAAAGTGGTTGTGGCATCTCTTAACACCTAGATGTTTAGATTGGCAGTAATTGTCAACACTTCAGTTCTGTGGAATTCAAGTGGAGACAGTCCCCTTTCCTCATGTCCAGATACCTCGTTTCCTTGAGGAATCTTCAGATAGCTAAATAGATAAATTCTCCCATCCAGCAAGAAGACGATATATAACACAAGTTAAGTGAGGAGTCATATGCTGATACATTATTTTCCTCAAAAACTGAAATGGGAACAGGTTTGGAAAAATATAGAGAGGAATGGTTGGGAAGGATCCATGAAATCCGTGAACCACATGTTTCCATGGTCACTCAAGGGTACTTCAACATAGTTGATGGCTGCTCTGAGAGAAGTGATGGTAGGGAACTCCCAGCACTGTGAACTGCTGCCATGTCACTGCCCAGTGCCAAATTTCCAAGAGTACCAGAGTCTGTGCAGTCTTGATGTGTGTTCTGAGCCCTGTCCTCAGTTGGCTTTTATCTTGGCATGTGACATGGATTCCCTCTTAACTGAAAAGTGCATCAGTTGACTATGACATGCTGGGTTAGTTGGTTGTTCGACAAATCATCTTACTTATCCTCATGACAAACCTCTGAAGGTCAGATGGATGAGGAGAAAAGTAGGATCTGAATATGTTTGCCAATACCAGTGCCCAGTCATATTCATACCACCTTTACGGATAGAAGGGATACTATACTTTGGTCTCTAGTATGGAGGTAATTGTACCATCTTTTTTGTCTTTAAGGTGGAAAATAGCTATTCAATTTCTGTTCCGATCTTCAAACAGTTTCACAAGAACATTATTGGGAAAGGAGGCGCAAACATTAAAAAGGTGACCAACTTTTCCCCTGAATCCTGGCTCTTCTTGTTCTGTCCCCTCAGCTCGTACCACTTCATCTGTGCTCACCTGTTTCTCTACTCCAGGAAGACTCCAGTCAGCTTCTCATTATCTTTCCCTGTAGATTCGTGAAGAAAGCAACACCAAGATCGATCTTCCAGCAGAGAATAGCAATTCAGAGACCATTATCATCACAGGCAAGCGAGCCAACTGTGAAGCTGCCAGGAGCAGGATTCTGTCTATTCAGAAAGACCTGGTAATGGGAGATGTTTCATAATGGAGATCCTTGGGTAAAATCTCTTAACAGAGCCTCTGAGGCTCTAGCCTGGGGTTGAGTCATTCTGAGTCATGGGGCCAGCACAGCTCATGTGGGTGATATGGAAGACTACAGCTTTAAATCCAGGCAGTGTTATTGGTTGGTTAGCAGTTTTTCACCTTTTATCTCTCATGATGCTTACTTACCACACGGACCTGCAGCAGTAACATTTGACTGGGTTTTTGTTTTATTAATATTAGACATGTTCTTTCTTTTTATTTTTCTACTACTTGAATATCATATCTGAAAATGATTACAATATTTTCTTCATTAAAAAATTAGCAAGCAATAAACTGCACATATTTACAGTATGCAATTTTATAGTTTTGACATATGTGTGCATCCATAGAATCATCCTACAATCGAGGTAATGAATATATACTCCAAAAATGTCCCCTGCTCTTTTGTATTAGTCTCCCTCCATCCCACTCAGCATCCCTCAAACCCCACACCCTCAAACTCCCTATCCCCAGGCAACACCTAATCTGCTTTCAGCCACAATACATGAGTTTGGATTTTCTATGTTTTTGTGTAAATGGAATCATAATACTAACTACTCTTTTTTGTTTTCACTTTGCATAATATTTTGACGTTTAAGTATGTTGTCACCTATATCATTGCTTTGTTCTTTTTCATTGCAGGGTGATATTTTACTGTGTGGATCAGATTATCAGAGCTTGAGGGTGTGGGGTTTGAGGGACGCTGAGTGGGATGAAGGGAGACTAATACAAAGGAACAGGGAACATTGTTGGAGTATACATTATCTTGATTGTAGGATGATTCTTTGGATGCATACGTATGTCAAAACTATCAAATTGTATACTGTAAATATGTGCAGTTTATTGCATGTTAATTTTTTAATGGAAGAAAATATAATCATCTTCTATTTTACTGTATGGATAGATCATCTGTTTCTTTGTGTGTGCTTGGTAATTAGTGTCTGTCTTTTTTTTTTTTTTTTTTTTGAGTTGGAGTCTCACTCCGTCACCTAGGCTGCTGGTGCAGTGGTACACTCACAGCCACCCCAGCATCGACCTGCTGGGCTCCAGCGATCCCTCCACATCAGCCTTCCAAGAAGCCGGAACTACAGGCATGCACTACCATGCCCGGCCAATGTTTTTTTTTCTAATTATAGAGACAAGGTCCCACCAAGTTGCTTGGGCTGGTCTTGAGCCTGCGGGCTCAGCAATCCACTTGCTTTGGCCTCCCAAAGTGCTGGGATTACAGGCTGAGCCACTGAGCCTGGCCACTGTAATTAATGAATTTCAAGGGGTTATCTATTTTATCCAAGTTGTCAAGTTTATTAGCATAAAGTTTTTATAATATTCCCATATTATCCTTTTACTGTCTATACTGAAATCACCTCTGTCATTTATAATTTATACAATCTGTACCATTATGAAATGACATTTTTCCCCTAGTAGTATTCTTTGTTCTTAAGTCTTTTTTTTTGGGGGGGGGGTTTCTTTCTGTCACCCAGGCTGGATACAGTGACACCATCATGACTCACTGCAGCCTTGATGTCCTGGGTTCAGTCTTGGGCTCAGGTGATCCTTTTGCCTCAACCTTCCTACTGGCTGGGACTACAGGAGTGCATCACCACACCTGTAATTTTGTTGTGGTTGTTGCTGCTGCGTAGGCTGGTCTGAGAACCCCAGGGCTCAAGCAGTCCTCCCACCTTGGCTTCTCAAAGTACTGGGATTATGGGTGTGAGTGAGCCACTAGGCCCACCTGGCCTGAAATCTGTTTTATCTGAATTAAAGTGGGGGTTTTTTTTGGCAGCTTTGTTTCTGTTTTGTTTGAGATAGGGTTTATCTCTGTGACCCACACAGGAGTGCAGTGGCGCAGTCACAGCTTTGTCACTTCGAACTCCTGGGTTCAAGCAATCCCCCTGCCTCAGCCTCTCAAGTAGCTGGGGCTACAGGCACACACCACCACACCTGACTGATTTTTAAAAATTTTTTGCAGAAATAGTGTCTCACTATGTTGCCCAGGCTGGTCTTGAAGTCCTGACCTCAAGTGATCCTTCTGCCTCAGCCACCCAAAGTACTGGGATTACAAGCGGAGCCACTGTGCCTGGCTGGCAGCTCACTTTTTAAATTAAATCTGTCTCTGCCTTTTAGATTATAATATTTCTATTTAATTACATTTGTGATTACATATTACATGTTATATAGCACATATTTAACAAGTGTGATTAAATTGCATTTATTGCAGTTATTCCTTTCAATTGTGGTAAAACACATAACAACTTATCATCTTAACCATTTTTAAGGATGTATTTCAGTGGCATTAAGTACATTCACAGTGCTTTGCAACTATCATCCTATCCATTTCATAGCATCTTGATCCTCTCAAACAGAAACTCTGCCTTTTAAACAACCACCACCATCACCCCACAAGCGCCTGGGCATCTTGATGTGGTTATTTTATGTGGTTGGGTTTAAATCTACCATCTTGCTATTTCTGTTTGTCCCTTTCTTTTGTTTCTTGATTCCTTTTTCCTCTTTTTTTTGAGTTGGAGTCTCACTCGGTCGCCCAGACTGGAGTACAGTGGCCGCTCCCGGCCACCGCAGCCTCGACCTGTTGGGCTCCGGCGATCCTTCCGCCTCAGCCTACCGAGTAGCCTGAATTACAGACATGCGCTACCACGCCCAGCTGATTTTTTGATTTATTGTAGAGATGAGGTCTTGTTGCCCAGGCGGGTCTCGAACCCGCGGGCTCAGGCAATCCACTCACCTCAGCCTCCCGAAGGCGCGGGATTACAGGCTGAGCCACCGAGCTCGGCTCCTTTTTCCTCTTTTGGTGGCTTATTAGATGTAACTCTCTGTTTTGGAATTTTAGTGTACATCTTCAACTTATCACAGCCTACAGCAGAGGGACTTTATAGCACTGTACTACTTCCATTCCCTTTGCCCCCAGCCTTTACTTTGTGGTTATACCTTTTACACATTATAACCCCCACAATGCATTGTTAACCTTTTTTTAAAAAGAAAAAAAAAGAAAGAAAACACTTCATTATTATTTTTATTTTTTATTTTTATTTTTTGAGTTGGTGTCTCACTCTGTCACCCAGACTAGAGTGCAGTGGCCGCTCCCACCACCGCAACCTTGACCTGCTGGGCTCCAGCGATCCTTCCGCCTCAACCTTCCAAGTAGCTGGAACTACAGGCACGCACTACAACGCCCGGCTAATTTTTTGATTTATTGCAGAGATGAGGTCTCGCCAAGTTGCCCAGGCGGGTCTGGAACCCGTGGGCTCAGGCAATCCACTCACCTCAGCCTCCCAAAGCACGGGATTATAGGCTGAGCCACCGAGCCCGGCTTCACTTCATTATTTTTAAAATAAATTTAAATAACTTAAAAATCTTATGTAAACCACATAGTTACCTTTTCTAGAGCTTTTCATTTCTTTGTGTGAATTCGTGTTTTCACTCCCATCTGAAGCGTGTCTCTTCACATTTTGCATGATGTATATATACTGGTAATTATTTAACTTCTTGTATATATGAAAATTTTTTAACTCATTTTTGAAAAATATTTTTGTTGGATATAGATTTCTAAGTTAGTTGTTTTATTTTTTACTCTCAAAGATTTGCATCATTATCTTCTCACATTCCGTTTTTTTCATGTCAAACAAGTGATACACCGATGTATCAAGGTTTGAGGGTGACATGTCTCACATGCACATGCAAACTCAGTCATCATGCTTATGAACTACACAAGCATCTTCTCACAGTGTTTCTGATAAGAAATCTGATATTGTCCTTTGCTTTGATCTTCTGTACATGACAAGTCTTTTACCTCTGGCTTCTCTTAAGGTTTTTTGTTTTTGTTTTGAGTTGTGGGTCTAATGCAGTCACCCAGGCTGGATTGCACTGACACCATCACAGCTCCCCACAACCTCAAACTCCTAGGCTCAATTAGTCCTCCTGCCTCTGCCTCCCAAGTATCTGGGACTACAGGCATGTGCCACCACACCCGACCTACTTGTAAGATTTTCATCACCAGCTGTGAGCAAGTGATGATGTGTCTTTTTAAGAAACAGGGTCTCACTCTCACCCAGGCTGGAGTGCAGTGGCATATCATGGCTCAGTACAGCCTCGAAGCGATCCTGCCATCTCTACCTTCCAAGTAGCTAGGACTACAGGCACATGCCACCTCACCTGGTTAATTTTTTTTATTTTTTTTTATTTTTAGTATAGACAGGGTCTCACTATGTTGCCCAAGCTGGTCTCAAACTCTTGCCTCAAGCAATCCTCCCACCTCAATCTCCCAAAATTTTGGAATTATAGGTGTGAGCCACCTCGCCTGACCTGGTGTGTCTTTGTGTACTTTCTTTATGTTTCTTGGTTTGATATTTATTGAGCATAGATATGTGAATTTAGAGTTATCATTAAATTTGGAAATTTTTGAGTCAGTATTCTTAATTGTTTTTTCTGTTAACACCTTGCTTTCTTCCTCTTCAGGGGCTCCAGTTACCTGGATATTAGTTGTCTTATACTGATACTTTGTTTATTTGGGTTGGGGAAGAGATGGTATTGGTTTTCTCCATCAGTTTCTTTAACTGATTCTCTGCAAAATCTAATCTGCCTAATTCCTTCTAGAATGTCTTTCATTTTAGACATTGTTGTTTTCATCTCTAGAAGTTTTATTTGAATCTTTATCTTCTATGTTTTCTTTTCTTTTTTTTTTTTGAGTTGAACTCTCACTCTGTTGCCAAGGCTGGAGTGCAGTTGGCACGCTCACGGCCACCGCAGCCTCCACCTGCTGGATTCAGGTGCTCCTTCTACCTCAGCCTTTGAAGTAGCTGGAACTACAGGCACACGCCACCATGCCCCACTAATTCTTTGATTTATTGTAGAGATGAGGCCCCACCAAGTTTCCCAGGCTGGTCTCGAACCCCTGGGCTCAGGCAATTCTCTCACCTCGGCCTCCCAAAGTGCTGGGATTAAGGCATGAGTCCCTGCGCCCGACTTTTCTGTGTTTTCAGTGCTTAACATGTTCAGTCTTTCCTTTGGCTTTTGACCATAAACAGTATGACTAAATGCCTGTATTAGTGTCCTTGACCTGCTGATTCTAACATTTGTGTCATTTCTGGGTGGTTTTCCATTTTCTTTTCTTCATTACGGCTTTCTTTTTTCTATTTCTTTGTATTTCTGGTATTTTTTCATTGGACATTTTTGTATTCTTATAAATATTTTTTAGCTTTGTGATGTTACTCTGAAACAGTTTGCTCTTTTTAGGACTTGCTGAGGTTTATTAGACAGGATCAAAGCAGTATTTAGTCCAGGCCCAAATATTTTCCACTACTGAGATAGGACCCTTCTGTGTAGTATACCACATGTCCTAGAAAGTGCAGCCTGCTGAGGATGGTACTGTACATACTGTACCAGGCCCTGACTGTGAGCTGCAGGCGCTGTTTTCTGTCATCCTTCTGGGGGTTCTTTCTGTTTCCCGAGGTGATTTTCTTATGCATGTCAATATGTGAATGGAGCCCCTCCAAGGCTCACCTGTAATTCTAGCACTTTGGAAGGTCAGGGTGAGAGGATTGCTCAAGCCCAGGAGTTCAAATCCAGCGTAGCAAGACCTTGTCTTTACAAAAAATTAGCCAGGCATGGTGGCAAACGCCTGTAGTTTAGCTACTTGGGAGGCAGAGGCAAAAGGATCCCCTAAGCCTAAAAGGTCAACGCTGCAGTGAGCAGTAATTGTGCCACTGCTCTCCAGCCTGGGCAACAAAGTGAGTTGTCTTCAGTTCTCAGGAGTTCTTTTTCTATGCTGTTTCTTTTAGACTCTGACCTCAAACTCTCTCACTGCCTTGCCACTCTCCCGAACTCTTGGCAGTTTCCTTACCTCACTTTGCTGCAGCAGCAAGTTGAGGCAGTCGTAGATGTCCTCGTTTCCTGTCTTCAGGATCTTATAAATTATTGTTAGGCAGTAAGTTCAATCCCTACTATTTCATCTTGGCTGGAATCTCTCTTTAATACGAAAAGTTTATCTGTTAGGCATATTGCACCCCAACTAACTGAAGAAGCAGAGTACTGTGTTTGGTCTGAAATCACAGTCCTCCTATGCTGTGTGTGTGTGCCACTGCCCCCCACCCCCAACAATATTCGCAAGGACTCTGGGTTCTGCTGAGTTAAGCATCTCCCATACTATGACTTAACTCTCTTTTCCTCTAGCCCTTTTTTGCCACACAAAAATATAACTTCCTCTTCCTACTGTGTGTTTCATTTCAGGCCAACATAGCCGAGGTAGAGGTTTCAATTCCTGCCAAGCTGCACAACTCCCTCATCGGCACGAAGGGTCGTCTCATCCGCTCCATCATGGAGGAGTGCGGCGGGGTCCACATTCACTTTCCTGTGGAAGGTTCAGGAAGCGACACAGTTGTCATCAGGGGTCCATCCTCAGATGTGGAGAAGGCCAAGAAGCAGCTTCTGCACCTGGCAGAAGAGAAGGTGGGTGCCTACCCCAGGCAGGGCTCCACTTAGGCCTGGGGATGGGGAGTCATGGAGTCTCTTGACAGGAAGCTTGATCCTTACTCACAGTGTTCTCTCTTCCCACTGTGAAAAATCCCAAGTGTCTTCTTTGGGTCAGGTTGGGAAACAACTTTATAATATACTTTTATACTTATTTGGTTTTACCATTAATAAAAGGCTTTTCTAGGTCCAAATGCTTACATATACAATATAGGAAATTTGCTATTTGGCTTATTCAGTTTTGGGGGGAGCTTGTCTTTTTTCATATATGATTTATAGTAAAAGTTACCATTCTTCAAGTATTGTTCTGAGTTTTGACAAACATGCAGTCATATGACCACAACAATAAAAATTCATTTTCCAGTGCCCCAGAAATTGAACTGCCTTTGTCCTTTGGTCAGAACCCATCTGTGATTATGTTTCTGGATTCTTCTGGTGACACCACAGCTTCATAGAAAGTCTAGAAATCAAGGAGTCTGGGTCCTCCAACTTTGTTATTTTTAAAAATTGCTTTGTTCTAGATCCTTTGCCGTCTATATGTAGTTTGAAATCAGCCTGCCAATTTCTGGAAAATAGGCTCAAATTTTGATTGAGATTGTGTTGGAATCTGAAGGTGAAATTGGTGAAAATTGTTAACTCAACAGTTTTGAATCTTTCAGTCACTTCTCTCCAGTCTTTTTCTTCGTTGGTATTTCATGATTTTTAGTATACAGATCTTGTATATTTTTGTGTTATATTTAACAGATCTAACTATTTTTATATTTTTTAGTTCTATTATATATGGCAGTGTTTTTCAGTTTCCACTTGCTAGCATGTGAAAATACATTTGATGCCTTCTTAGTGGCTCAGCCTGTAATCCCGTGCCTTGGGAGGCTGAATTGCCTGAGCCCGCAGGTTTGAGACCCGCCTGGGCAACTTGGTGAGACCTCATCTCTACAATAAATCAAAAAATCAGCCGGCTGTGGTAGCACGCACCTGTAGTTCCAGCTACTTGGAAGGCTGAGACGGAAGGATCGCCAGAGCCCAGCAGGTCGAGGCTGCGGTAGCCGGGAGCAGCCACTGCACTCCAGTCTGGGAAACAGAGTGAGACTCCAACTCAAAAAAAAAAAAAGAAAAGAAAATACATTTGATTTTTGTTTACCAACCTTACTTCATGAGCCTGCTAAATATAAGGTTCACTTACTGGTGCTAGTAGCTTTTTTATAGATTTTTTTTTTTTAAAGAGGCAGGGCTTCACTGTGTTCCCCAGGCTGTTCTCAAGCTCTTGACCTCAAGCAATCTTCATACCTCAGCCTCCCTGTATTGGGATTCTAGGCATGAGCCAACAAGCCTGACCAATTCTTATTTTATATGTAAATATCATGATGTCTGTTAATAGGCAGTTAACTTTCTCGCTAATTTAGAAGCCTTGTATTTCTTATCTAATTGCATTGCTCAGGCTCTTCATTACCGCAACTAATAGCCTTGGTGGGGAAGGACAGGCTTGCCTTGTGCAAGGTCCTGGGAGGAAAGCATTCAATATGATGTCATCTGTAGGTCACTGGTAGATACTCTTTGTCAAATTCCCTTCTATTCTGAGTTTGTAAAAAGTTTGGCAGCGGAATGAATTTTGATTTTGTCAGATGCTTTTTCTACTTCTTCTGTCATGATTATAATACCTTTTTTTGTTTTGTTTTTTTGAGTAGGAGTCTCACTCTGTCGCCCAGGCTGGAGTGCAGTGGCACGTTCACAACCACTGTAGTCTTGACCTGCTGGCCTCAGGGTGATCCTTCTGCCTCAGTCTTCCAAGTAGCTGGAGCCACAAGTGCACGTCACCACATTCAGCTAATCTTTTGATTTATCGTGGAGATGAGGTCTTACCATGTTGCCCAGGTTGGTCTCGAGCCCGCGAGCTCAGGCAGTCCTCTCACCTCTACTTCCCAAGGTGTTGGGATTACAGGCATGAGCCACTGTGCCCAGCTCATAATGCATTTGTTAGATTTTCTTTTTTTTTTAACTGTTTAGCCCACCTTGCATTTCTGGGGTAAGCTCCATTTGTTTTAGATAGGTTGTCTTTTACCATACTACTAGATTGGATCTGCCTAATGTTGGCTTTTAAATAATGCAGCTACTTGTGGGTGTCTTTGTCTGAAGAGTAGCAGTTTATCTAAGTGGTGTTTGATGAAACCTGCACATAAAAGATACCAATGCTCAGTTATTTAATGTTTCATGCTAGCAGATCTTTTTTTTTCCCCTCTGTATTCTTCATGCATGTAGGCCAGGTCTCCAGTGTGGAGGAAGGCAAGAGGAGCACTTGTGAATCTGAGTTGTGTAGAGCAGTGTGTTCTTGTGTCCTCCTGGATAAGTCTGCCAAAGACACTGATGTCCTTAATGCGGTCACAGTGTCAGGGGTCTCTCCAGGACCCTGATTTCTTGGTGTCAAACAATGGCCTCAGGTTACCATGAGACCACTGAGGGCTCTTCTTTAACTGTTGCCATGGGTGACCTGTGTCTCTCTGAGCTTGAGCTTGGAGAGTGGCTGGTTTTATGTGGACTAATCTGTAGCATTTGTGGGAGGAAAGGAGGACTGACCCAGGGAGCACTTTGCATATGCTTGGTCTGGAAGCTGGTGGGAAGAGCGGAAGTATGGTAGTGGGCCCTGGGGCAGCATGCTTTCCGCTCTGCTGGATACACTCCACTTTTGCCAGAACCATCACACAGCATGTTTCCAGGTCCCCCTGTGCAGATCACAAATGGCTTGGAGAAGTTTGGTCATTGATCATGTGTAGTAGGACAGGATTCTAAGCAGGATTCTTCATTGTCAGCATCTCTCCAATGGCTGTGAGAAAAGGAGGATAGTCTGTCTAGGTGTAAGTCTGTTTGATTAGGTGAGGTATGTTAGCCCCATTTTGGGCATGTTGGTGCAATACCAGGACACTATAAAGGAAGCCCTACACCTCTGTCCTCTAGGCCCTTTTGTTCACTTGCACTGTGGTGCAGGCAGGTATTGTTAGCCTAACATCTGTGGGGTTGGTTTCTGCAGCAAACCAAGAGTTTCACTGTTGACATCCGCGCCAAGCCAGAATACCACAAATTTCTCATTGGCAAAGGAGGTGGCAAAATTCGCAAGGTGCGTGACAACACCGGAGCTCGCATCATCTTCCCAGCGGCTGAGGACAAGGATCAAGATCTGATCACCATCATAGGAAAGGAGGATGCTGTCCGGGAGGCGCAGAAGGAGTTGGAGACCTTGATCCAGAACCTGGTAGGAAGTGGGCTTTGGCTGCAGCTCTGCTGATGCTGTTAGTGGGTGGTTTGTCTTTCATTCCTTCTCTCAATACTGCAGGATAACGTGGTTGAAGACTGCATGCTGGTGGACCCCAAGCACCACCGCCACTTTGTCATTCGAAGAGGCCAGGTCTTGCGGGAGATTGCTGAGGAGTATGGTGGAGTAATGGTCAGCTTCCCACGCTCCGGCACACAGAGCGACAAAGTCACTCTCAAGGGCGCCAAGGACTGTGTGGAGGCAGCCAAGAAACGCATTCAGGAAATCATTGAGGATCTGGTAGGTGCCTAGGAGGTTCAGGTGGATTCCCATTACCAGCTCAGCAAAGCCATGAGCAGATGTTCCCCTGAAGGGGCTTTCTTGAGCTGTCTTCCTTTCTTAGCATGTCTGGCCTCTTTCCTAAGAGTTGATGACAATACTGCCTTTGAGAAGCACCTTTTATTCTTTTTAATGAAAATACAATCTATAGAAAGGATCAACCAGCTTTCTTCTCTTCTCTATGAAGGAAAGAGAACAGATTGAGGGAAAGAGGGGATGTCACAGTGAATGGAAAAGTCACATGGAAATGTCAGCTTTTTTTTTTTTTTTTGAGTCAGAGTCTCACTCTCACCCAGGCTAGAGTGCAGTGGCACATTCACGACCACTGCATCCTTGACCTGCTGGGTTCAGTGATCCTTCTGCCTCAACCTTCCAAGTAGCCTGAACAACAGGCGCACGCCACCACGCCCAGCTAATTTTTTGATTTATTGTAGAGATGAGGTCTCACCAAGTTGCTCAGGCTCATCTCGAACCCATGGGCTCAGGTAAACCTTGGCTTCCCAAAGTGCTGGGATTATAGGCGTGAGCAACAGTGCCTGGCCATGTCAGCTTTTCTAAAGCAGCATTTATTTATTTATGTATTTTAGTTTAGTTTAGTTTGAGTTGGAATCTCATTCTGTTGCCCAGGTTGGAGTGCAGTGGCATGCTCACAGCCACCCCAGCGTCAACCTGCTGGACTCCAGTGATCCTTCCACCTCAACCTTCCAAGTAGCTGGAACTACAGTCACACACTGCCATGTCCGGTTATTTATTTATTTTTTTAAATTGTAGACACAAAGTCTCGCCAAGTTGCCTGGGCTGATCTCGAACCCGTGGGCTTAGACAGTCCACTCGCCTCAGCCTCCCAAAGTGCTGGGATGACAGACTGAGCCGCCAAGCCCGGCCTGTTTATTTAGAGTCAAGGTTTCACGCTGGAGTGCAGTGGCACAATTGCAGCTCACTACAGCCTTGACCTGGGCTCAGGCAATCCTTCCACCTCTGTCTCCCAAATAGCGGGGATTACAGGCCCATGTTAACTTCTCTGGCTAATTATTGTGTGTGTGTGTGTGTGTGTGTGTGTGTAGAGATGAGGTCTTGCCATGTTGCCTTGGCCTCCCAAAGTGCTGGGATTATGGGCATGAGCCACCGCACCTAGCTTAAAACAGCCTTTAGAGAGTGTTCCTTCCTCTGTGTTCTCTGGTGCTCCTCTGCCAGGGCCCTGGACATATGCCCTTTCCCAATAATCGAACCTGATGGCTCCTCATAGATCAGAGGTTACAAGTCAGAATGTCCCATGCACCTGCTGTTGTGGCACCACCTCCAGGGATGACACCTTGTCTTTTGTAACACATCTAAGGAGACTTGCCCTCTAGAACCTGCCCCATGCCCCTCTTCCTTGGCGCCCAGTCGCACCTAGAGCTCTGGACATCCTCAGAGAAGGGGAGTGTCTGTGTTAACAAGTGGCTTACCAAACTGGAAAAGTGAAGAAGAGTGTTGTAAGTAGGCCCAAAGGAATTTAATCTTTGCTCTTTTCTTTTTTGTGTGTGCCTCCCTCCAGGAAGCTCAGGTGACAGTAGAATGTGCTATACCCCAGAAATTCCATCGATCTGTCATGGGTCCCAAAGGTTCCAGAATCCAGCAGATTACTCGGGATTTCAGTGTTCAAATTAAATTCCCAGACAGAGAGGAGAATCCAGGTGGGTCCCCTGTTTGAACCTGTGCTGATTCTTTTATGGTGTCCTTCCCCGTGTGAGGGGCTGTCATGTGTCCTGGTAAAGCTTACTCCTGGCTCTTTGCTGGAACACCAGCCATCCTTGTGTTCTGTGGGCTTCCAGAGGCTTAGCATTAACTCCCTGGTCTTTAAAGGTTGGACCACGTCAATTTTCATGGGATGACAAGGTACCCTTCATGTATCCCAAGAGACATGGGTGATGAGACCAGAAATGCGCAGCACCTCACCCACAGGAAGCCTCAAGTCCAGGTGCACTATTACTCACAACATCGTTTGGATTACATGTATGATGAAGTTTCATAAGCTCTGCCTAGAGCAGCCTTCTCTCTCCACACTCCACATTGCCAGATATGTTCCCTGTGAGGCAGGCAATTGCAGCCTCTGATGGTGTGGAGGGTGCTATCCAGGTGACTGACAGCTCTTCTAGAGCTTTTTGTACACTGTTTGTCACCTAGTTCTGCTTGTGCTCCCAGTGATAGCGGAGGGTGGATGGGAGCAAGAAGAGCCAATGTGGTTGGTGGTACACAGGTGACCTTTGGGACAGGGTTGATATGAGCAACATGACTGGTGATGGGGAGGTAACCTGTGGGATGCAGGGATGGTCACTCCTCCTTCCCACTTGCTTTGCATATGTGAAACAAAAGGTGTTTTCTCCTCTTTGTGGCTTACTTGATCTGTCTGGGCTAGCAGGTGACCTGCAGCCTGCTGAGTTTACTTGATGTTGTCTATCATGGCATCCAGGAAGCATGGCATACATAGCTCTCTGTTTTTCTGAGAATACAGGCTATTTTGAGTAGGAAACTAATACAATATTGTACCTCATTTATGTTTCATACTTAAATAGGTAGCTATTTTGAACTTCTACGTTTTGTTAACATGTTATGTTAAAAAAAAATTGAGTCGGGCTCGGTGGCTCAGCCTGTAATCCCGCGCCTTTGGGAGGCTGAGGTGAGTGGATTGCCTGAGCCCACGGGTTCGAGACCCACCTGGGCAGCGAGACCTCATCTCTACAATAAATAAAAAAAAATCAGCCGGGCGTGGTAGCGCATGCCTGTAATTCCGGCTACTTGGAAGGCTGAGGTGGAAGGATCGCCGGAGCCCAGCAGGTCGAGGCTGCGGTGGCCAGGAGCGGCCACTGCACTCCAGTGTGGGCGACAGAGTGAGACTCCAACTCAAAAAAAAAAAAAAAAAATTGCACAGAATAGTATAAAGATATATCTTGTGTGCTCATTATCCAAAAATCACCAGTTTTTTCCTTAACCCCTCCCTTTTACATATGTTAGCTTTTTCTAAAAACAGACATTCTCTTGCATAATTAGTAGCACATTTATCAGAATCAGATCTAATATGTAATTCTGTTATCTAATTGCTATCTAATAAATAGTCGGTATTTAGATTTGTCAGTTTTGAAGCCTCCTTCAGAGCAGAGCCTCCACCCCACCTGCCTTACCACAGGAGCATGCTTACTTTAGGCAGGTGTGTTTATTGAGTCTGCTCTACTCATTTATTTACAACACTTGGGTTCCTGAATTCTGTCTTACTCCCTGGGTAAATACTGTTCCGGTGTTTATCTTGTTGCACTCTTTGTCTCCAGTGTGGCCGTGGGGGCTCCTCTAGCCAGCTTCTGTGTCCTGTTGACCAACCCTTTTATTCTTGGGGCTCTTTCTGTGTGGCATAAGGAAGGAGCTGGTTTATGTTGGCCTCTCCCTAATTATCCCTCTTAAATCTCTTAAAGCCCTCCCCACTGCCTCATGGTCAAGCTCCACATGGCACTGGGCCTGTCTGTGCTCCTTCTGTGACTTGTTAAATCTCAAACCTCTGCCATAGTTGCCCTGAGCTCCATTTCAGGGTAAGGAAGGTGAACACAGAGCTCACAGCCCAAGGCCTTCAGTGCCTGCCCCAGGCCTGGGACTCTCTCTCTGCCCCAACGGGGCCCTTAAGAAAGACAGGCAGGTTCTTCCCTCCCTTTTCCACCCAGCACATAGTAGATACTTAACAGACATAAGGATTCTGAACAAAACATGGAGTATCTTTGGCAGTTATCAACTGTCCCTTTTTCCCTAGTCCACAGTGTAGAGCCAGTTGTCCAGGAGAATGGGGACGAAGCTGCGGAGGGGAGAGAGGCCAAGGAGGCTGACCCCGGCTCTCCAAGGAGGTGTGACATCATCATCATCTCTGGCCGGAAAGAAAAGTGCGAGGCTGCCAAGGAAGCCCTGGAGGTGAGTTTGACCCCTCTCTCTCCTCCCCTAAGGTGCCAGTCAGTGGATATCTGGGGGAGAGGTGTGGTCTGAACGGAAGGATCTCAGTTGCAGTGGATCAGATGTGACCTCCAGCCTCAGTTTTCCCCCTGAAGACTTAGCTCAGACTTGTGAAGATGAGCCATCTGTGTGGTGGGTGTTGAACGCCACCCAGGTGGTGGGTGCTGCCCTAAATGCTGCAGTGCCACAGTACACAAAATTACATTGGAGTGGAGAGAGACAGACAAGGGTGGTGCGGATGGTGTGTTGGGGCTTGAATAGAGACAGAGCAGGTTGGCAGTGGTCCAGCAGAGTCCCCTGGGCTTTGGCTACATCCATCATGACCTCAGGAACGTGCCAGGAGTCCTTTCATTCCAAGCAGGCTTCAAGGGGACTGCTCTAATTCAGAAGAATAGGCTTGGGGTATAACGTCTGAAATTTTTATCTGCCAGCATTAGCCTAAAAACTGGGTTCCTAATTCTCTTTTCAATCTCTTTTATTGAATTAAAGCTCCTGGTGACATGATTAGTCAAGACATAGTGCTATCATAGAACTGTTTCCCTTGTGCTTCATGGAGCCATTACTGGATTTACTGGGTTACTGCCCTCAGCTCCCACAGCCTAAATATTACCATCTTCCCTATAGGCCTTGGTTCCTGTCACCATTGAAGTGGAGGTGCCCTTTGACCTTCACCGTTACATCATTGGGCAGAAAGGAAGTGGGATCCGCAAGATGATGGATGAGTTTGAGGTTAGACCCCTTTCCCTGGAGGCCATGTCATGGGAGTGGGCTCTCATATCCTCTCCTGAGTGCTGCTGTCCTTCATCAGCCTCCAGTTGGTTCCACCTCCTACTGCTCTGTCTGATTGAGCACTGACTTTCTTCTATGGTGGTTGGGCTTCCCTCTCCCTCCCTCTGGATCCTAGGGTCAGATGGACTCCTTCCCACTCTGTGGGTCCTAGACATCAGGTCAGCGCCCTCTCCACATAGGTGAACATACATGTCCCAGCACCTGAGCTGCAGTCTGACATCATCGCCATCACAGGCCTTGTTGCAAATTTGGACCGGGCCAAGACTGGGCTGCTAGAGCGTGTGAAGGAGCTGCAGGCCGAACAGGAGGACCGGGTGAGCGGGAGATGTGGGGGGTCTGCCCAGAGCCACAGTTCTCCACTTTGGGCACACTTTAGGATGTAGGTGAACTCTTACAGATTTCTAGTTATACCTGACTGGCTGGAGGCGAGACCCAGGCAATGCCAGGGTGCAGCCACTTCCAGAAGTCTTACTGTGGAGTGAGCTAAGAGTATGACTCTTCTTTTAATATAAAACAGACAAAGTTAGACTTCTGTGTTAATTTGCGGTCTCTCTTAAAACCAAATCAGAGGCCAGGCTCGGTGGCTCAGCCTGTAATCCCAGCGCTTTGGGAGGCCGAGGTGAGTGAATTGCCTGAGCCCCACCCGGTCAACTTGGCGAGACCTCATCTCTACAATAAATCAAAAATTAGCCGGGCTTGGTAGCATGTACCTGTAATTCCAGCTACTTGGAAGGCTGAGGTGGAAGGATTGCCAGAGCCCATCAGGTCGAGGCTGCAGTGGCCTAGAGCGTGCCACTGCGCTCCAGTCTGGGTGACAGAGACTCCAACTCAAAAAAAAAAAATCTAAATGTGGTACCTAGGTTTTATAAGAAAAGTAAAAGTTAGGGGAGGCTCCTAATCATGTGCCATGAAGTCAGGGTGGGTGTCAGGGGCCCCACTGATCTCCAGCATGGGGTGGCCACAAGCTGAAGAAAAAGTGACTGCTTGCTAAGTAGGGATGAGACCCCACCTTGCCTCTGGAGGGCTGGCGTTGGAGGGATTACATGAGTGATGCACTACAAGGCAGAGGGAGAGTGTATTCTGGAAACTTAAAGCAAATTGTACTAGGGGTGACTGACTGTTCACCAAAGGCCATACCTTTCCATTTTTCCAGTTAGTGTGTAGAGTCTAGTGAAGGAGCAGAGCTCATAAACCTATTCATACAATCAGTGTGCCCCATGTGGACTTTGGATATGTTCTGTCCTCTAGCCAGCTCTAGAGTTTGGCCATGGACATCCAGGGGCTGTCCCTTGGTACTTTTGCTGCCCTCTTCTTGGCCTGCTTCTGTACCCTAGCCCTACAAGACCTAGAATATTTTCTTCATATTCACCAGATCTCTGCTTCACAGATTAGGAAAGTAGGACCACAAGCTCAAATGACTCACTGCCCAGCCCTATCAGTTCCTGAGCACAGTCCTCCCCCTCAGTTACTAACAAGACCCTTGTCCATGCCCTTTGTTGGAGAATTTATATGCTTTGTATGGGGCAATCAAGTCCTCTGGTTCTCATTATTAGCAGAAGATGGAAGGTGGTAGGGGTCAGACCAGATAGCTAACTATGCTGGACCACAGGGGTTAACAGAAAACAGGAGTCTTCCTTTGATTTCGTAGGCTTCAGCAGATGTATCCCAGCACCAGGGTGGAAGGGAGACTGGGGCCACGGGATGGTTCAACTCTGCCTCATTTTCACTTGTTTCATTTGTAGGCTTTAAGGAGTTTCAAGTTGAGTGTCATTGTAGACCCCAAATACCATCCCAAAATAATTGGGAGAAAGGGGGCAGTGATCACCCAAATCCGCTTGGAGCATGATGTGAACATCCAGTTTCCTGATAAGGATGATGGAACCCAGGTAAGAATGACCACTCAGGTGGTAGCCATGGTTGGAGCGAGCACACTGAGATCAGATAGGCCCCTAGTGACCTTTGCCTTGACTTGGGAACAGTAAACACTTGTGCCTGGTTCAGAGTGGCAGGTCTCTAAGGATCTGATTTCAGCTTGGGGTTTTGGCCACATTTTGGCATTTGCCAGTGGGTGAGGCATCCTCAGCACCAAGTATTATTTGGGGCCTTGGGCATCTTCTCCCTTGCCTCTCCTAGCAGGTGAGTAGGGACACCTATATGTATAGCTCATTCACCCATCACCTGGGCCTGAGGCTCCCAAGGGGCTCTTGGGAAGCAGGTGGACATGAAACAACTGCCAGAGTCTGACTTCTCTGCAGCCCCAGGTAGACGCTCTGTTGTGCTGGCTGAATGGTCCCTAGTAAACTCCACTTGTTACTTTCTCCACATTGCAGCATCCCAGCCACTGACTTTCATGGCCTGCTGCACTCAAGAACAGAGTGAAAGGCAGTGCCATTTCACCTCACACCCCCACTCTCACATACATGTGGGCCTTCCCTCCCTCTCCCAGGCTGCCCTGCTAGAGCGTCCACTCACTGGACATGAGCCGACACAGCCTTGCATGTGGTGGGTGCCCAGCACACCTTGGTGGCCAGTCACTCCGGCTCCCAGAAACGGTTCCCTGGAACCTCTACCAGCAGATCCCTGGGCATCTCTGTGGACCACACCCTGCCTCATCTTTTATTTTTCTTTTTTTTTTGAGTTGGACTCTCACTCTGTCACTGAGACTGGAGTGCAGTGGCCGCTCCCGGCCACCGCAGCCTCGACCTGCTGGGGCTCCGGTGATCCTTCCGTCTCAGCCTTCCAAGTAGCTGGAATTACAGGCGCGTGCTACCACGCCCGGCTAATTTTTTGATTTATTGTAGAGATGAGGTCACACCAAGTTGCCCAGGCGGGTCTTGAACCCGTGGGCTCAGGCAATCCACTCACCTCAGCCTCCCAAGGCGCGGGATGACAGACTGAGCCACCAAGCCCAGCTACCCTGCCTCATCTTACTCCCACCACCTCACCTTCTGTGATACCCTAGCCTCCTGTTTCTTTTTGAATCTTTGAGTCTCTCACACACATCATTTCAGTAAATCAGCCAGTACAGGAGGGATCATCTACAGTCCATGCTTCCTCCTCCTGCTCCTAAGTCCTTCCTCCCCAAGTACATTCAATAATTTGTAATAATCTTTATCATGCAGGTTTAGCTCTTTTAAACCCCTTACCCTCACCACCTTTTATTTTCCTCTACTTTTGCATATAACTATCAGTTTTTTTAAGGTATCTTTTAACATTTAGACTATTTCAGTTAATATACCATGAGCCAAGTCTGGTAGCATGACCACATTATTTTTCATACTCAGCTTTTTCCTGTGAGAATTATACTTCCATTTGTCAAGTTCTGTTACTGGCAGCAGTGATGGCTAGTAGAGGTTCTTGGCTCTACTGGGCCGGTGTTGGGTGGGACCCACTTCCTCCCACTGTGTGACATTTGCTTCAGTCTGGACAGGAGGACTTTCCTTCTCTCCCAGCTTGGGTCTTTCTGTTCTTCCATTTCCTTTCCAGGCATTTGTCCTTGTTTCCCAATTCTGTTATGTGTTGTTCTTATATTGTGGATGTGCTGTTTTTTCCTGTCCTAGAGAGTGTGATTACAATTTGCCTATTTTCTTCTACATTCCTGAACTGTCTGGTTGTCCTGTTCACCCTCTGTCTGAGTCTGGTGGCGTCTCTTGCCCATTTGTATGGTTTGAGGGAGACCTGAGAAGCCAGGCTCTGAGTGAGGGAGGGCCTTGCCATGGGTGAGGGACAGCCAGCCAACCAGTCTCCAATGCAGAGGCTTCTCCAGAGCACAGCCTGAACGGGCAAAGAAGCAGGAGGCCAAGGGACTGGGGGACGTCTTTGCCCCTCTGTCCTTGGATCTAGAGCTCTCACCTATCAGCATCTCTCCTTTGTCTTTGTAGGCAGGTGTCCTTTTCAGTCCTGTAATTGGTGACCTTTTTGGTGGGGTTTGGGAAGGGGCAGGAGCTAAGTAGATGTTATCCTGTGTCATTTTAAATTAGCCATTATGTTTTTCACTTTCTTTTTCTGAGCTGATGAGTGTTTCCCCCTCAGGTGAGGCCTGATGGCGCTCAGCATCCATGTGTCTGTGCTTCCTTGTCTCACTCATGTCTGGGCCAGCACTTGCCCATCTTGGGAATCCCAACAAGTCATCCCCTCTTTTCTGACTTCATTCTCCTTTTTTAGTCCCAGGACCAAATTACCATTACAGGGTATGAAAAGAATACAGAAGCTGCCCGGGATGCTATATTAAGAATTGTGGGTGAACTTGAACAGATGGTTTCCGAGGACGTCCCCCTGGACCACCGTGTTCATGCCCGTATCATTGGTGCCCGTGGCAAAGCCATCCGCAAAATCATGGATGAATTTAAGGTGAGCCCTGAACTGACTTGGAAGCACAGCATATGAGAATCCCCTTCTCCCCAGCGACTGCTTGGCAGCCTAATATCTTCCTGTCTAAGCTGCTGACCACCCAGAGTCAGGAGGGAGATGAGGGTGTAGCCGTCCTCTTAGGTGCTAAGGTAAAGCACCCTAGGATGCTCGCTGCCCTGTCTTCAGGGCTGGTCAGTACAGACGACAGTGCTGCCTCCAGGCAGTGGGCTGAGAGGTAGCACCCCTGCGGTGCCCATTAGGAAGGCAAGGCTGGACATAACCTCACAGGTTACCCAGCAGGTTTCTTAACCTACAGATGGGAGCTTCACACAGCAGTGCACAGCCCGTACCCTGCTCCTTGTCTTCTGGGGAACTGCTCTTGAAATGCACTGGTTTAACTTGATGTGAGGGTGACTTATTTGAGGGATCAACTGTGAAAACCAGATTTTAAATTTTCACTAGCTCAGAGGGAAAACTCTTTGCTAGAGGTAGACATAACTGTGACCCTTTGGCCAAAAGTTTTCATTCCTCAGCTGACATCGTATGCACCTTCCAGGTGGACATTCGCTTTCCACAGAGTGGAGCCCCAGACCCTAACTGCGTCACTGTGACGGGGCTCCCGGAGAATGTGGAGGAAGCCATTGACCACATCCTCAACCTGGAAGAGGAATACGTGAGTCCCTGGTGGGCGGGGCCCTCAGGGAGGCCTCTGGCTCTGACTGGCACATGCAGGGGTGGGCAGGTGGTGGGGCCAAATGTACCTCCCCGGGGGTGCTAGAGTAGGCTCAGCAGCCTGACTCTTGTCTCCACTCTGTGCTCTGCAGCTGGCAGATGTGGTGGACAGTGAGGCCCTGCAGGTGTACATGAAGCCTCAGGTACACGAGGAGTCCAAAGCACCATCCAGAGGCTTTGTGGTGCGTGATGCGCCCTGGACTGCCAATAGCAGTGAGAAGGTCAGATGGTATTTCTTCTGCTCTCCTGGGGGAGACGGGTGGGTTCTATGTCCTCAGTGTTCCATGGGTGCAACTACTGTGGAAGCCATTGAGAACAGGGCAAGTGACCCCTACTGAAGCTGTGTCCTCTCTCTGTACAGGCTCCTGACATGAGCAGCTCTGAGGAATTTCCCAGCTTTGGGGCTCAGGTGGCCCCCAAGACCCTCCCTTGGGGTCCCAAACGATAATGATCAAAAAGCAGAAACCTCTCCAGCCTGCTGACCCGAACCCAACCACCAAACAATGGTTTGTCTCAATCTGACCCAGCGGCTGGAGCCTCCGTAAATTGTTGACGCTCTTCCCCCTCCCGAGGTCTCACAGTGAAGCCTGGCATGGCCGGCTCTGTGTGCGGCCGGTTTGGGGCCTGGTCGACACCCAGTGCATGCTCAGGATCTGCTCCCTGATACTTGGCTCTGGGCGCTCCACTGTTTTAACACTAAACAAAGGTAATTGAGCATTTCGTGATAACACAGACTCCAGCTTCCTGGTCCACCCAGCATGTCAGTCAGCACTCTGACCTTCATTACGAGAGCTCCTCAGCTGTGGCTAGGATTCGACTTCCTGTGTCATGACCTCAGGAAATAAATTTCCTTGACTTTATAAAAGCCAAAACGTTTGCCCTCTTCCTTTCCCACCTTCCTCCTGCCCATTGCCTGTCGTCCAGACCTTCCTTTTTGTAGAGTGCAATCAGCCTCCTCCAGCTGCCAAAAGCCTCCTTAGCACAGATGACAGTGTGAGAGGAAGGCCTGGCTCTGGACAGTGGTAGGTTGCTGTCCTAGAGCTAGAGGGGACCCAAAAGGCAGAGGGTGACTTGGGTTCTCAAACAGTCCTGATTTTACCTGCTGTGGGATCTGAAAGCACTAAGGATCTCCACCCACTCAGCCCGCCCACCCCACCTTCCCCCATTGCTGCACCCTCGGCTGAGGTCTGGTGAGCAGAACCTGGAGGTGAGGTTGTGTGTGTACCATCTGGGTCCCTTGTGGCTATCACAGTATCTGCTGTGACCTGAGACATGCTCAGGGGCAGGGGAAGTGGGGGCCATCCACTTATCCTGGGTGGGGGCAGCTTGCTTTTAGGTAACAGCTCGGCTTGTTCTCACCACCTGCAGCTCCCCTGCCCTGGACACCATGTGTTCAGCTGCCTTCTTTCTACCTCAGCCGGCGTGGTAGTGGTCTCCTGTGTAGTTTGTGCCACCCCATATGCTGTTCTTGATTTAGACACTTCTGGTGGTTGTGGGTTTGCCACGAGTTTGGCATGGGCGCTATGTGCCGAAGCTCCAGGCTGGCACCCTCCCTCACCCACAGGTGTGTCAGTGGCCAGTGGGCCAGTCCAGAGGGTACTCTTCCACCCCCAGCCCAGACTGCCTGGGTGCTGCCTGCAAGCCCCAGGTGCAGGTCCCAGCTGGTTGGCCTTGAGTGGCAGGCTTCATGATCCACAAAGGGAAGCAGAGTGAGGACCCAGCAAGCAGGTGCTGAGAGCCCATGCTAGCAAAGGGAGGGTCCATGCTTCCTCAGATGCGTGGCAGGTAATTCTGAGTTATGGATCACCAGCCCTGCCTGCAAAGGTGCCCCCAGCCAGCCTTGCTGAAGGTCTACCCTCAGAGGAAAGGTGGTCCCACACAGAGGCATCTGTGTCATGTGAGGACCAAGCCTGTGTCCTAGATCTCTGGGTCTTTTGGTCTTCCCATCCCTGCCTCTTTCTCCACAGAGGTGACTGAGCCACTAACAAGTTGTCCTGTCTCAGATACTTGAGTTCTAGAAAAGCTGACTTGTGCCCATCCATCTCATAGCCCTTTCCTGGGGACAGTCACTTCTGCCTTGACACCCTACACCCAAAGTTTCTCACTCAGTTTGGTAATTCAAGCTTGGTCATCTTTAGACTCGGGAATTCCTAAATAGACCCAGAATTGCTTAACCCAAGTCTAACTTCAGTTGCCTTGGCAAGGTCCCCATTAGCTCAAGCAGCCCTAACTATGCCCCTTTCTAGGAATCATACATTGGGATACGAAAGTACATTTCCTTCAGCGGAATAGCCTGGGTGACCCTGAATTAGGTTGAGTTGATAGAAACAGGAAAGAAGGCAAGGTGCTTCTTGCCTTTCCCAGAACTGTCTCCTCCATCTTGACTGGGGAGCCTTGTAGGGGAAGGACTGTCACCTCTTTCCCATCTGCATGAGTTTTAGAACTTGCATCCCCTCCCTGGTTTTTCCAGCTCCCTCTGGTATCTATCCCAACCTGATCTCCTACAACATCTGGCCCCTATACCCTCCCCCCCAAAGATAAATTTTAAATTCTCACAACAGATTTTTGCACATCTCTGTGTATTGCTAAACGTCTTAGATGCAATCCCTTTCCTAAGCTGTTCAGGGGTCTCTTTTTTTTTTTTTTTTTTTCTTTTTAATGTTAAATGAAGGTTATGAAATGACTGTATCCAGGCCTGTCTCCCTAAGCCTCGGTGCTGTCAGGAGAGCCCTGGGCAGGGATAAGGAATGTGTGTCCTTTTCCTCCTTGTTGAATGTCTTCCATATCATATGTTTCCATAGCTACAATCCATCCCTTGGCCTTAACTTTGGAATTTGGAGATTATATGCAAACATGTGTAAAGGGTCATGAATATGGATGACACTGGAATTTTATAAATTCTAAAATAAAACCCAAAACCAGATGTAGTGTGCTGGACCTCATTTATCATGCTACTTGTGTGTTATTCCTATGATTCTTGAATGGTACCTGGACATCCGTGGATAGTTCATCTTTAGTGTGATTCCCCCAGCTGTTCTCAATACTGTGTTTGATGCCTCCTCTGGTTAAAAATGTTGGTGAGGATGTTGTTTAGAAGGAGGCTTTTTCTGGAGAGTAGGTTTGGCAGTAGGCATCACAGTATTTTAAAATCTGCACATGCTTTTTGACACTTCAGTTATATTTCTAGAACAGGTGTGTGTGTGGCACAAGCCAGTGGTGGTCCTAGTGAGGGGATCATGGCCTGTTCTGTCTCCTAGCCACCACCCAGTCCCAGTCAGTGGCTGCCCCAGAACGCTCTCACGGTTGAGGGTAGATAGCTGTCCTTACAGAGCAGTACAGTTCTTATGTAAAACCTGCCACTTCCTTTAGCTCAGAATTCTGCCTGAACTATCAGCAAACCTCAGTGGCATTTCCAGGAAAGGCTTTTGGTGCTCAAGCAGATGCTGGGCACTGGGGCAGTTTCCAGCTCATGGGTGGTGGTAAGCTGAGCAGGAGGGAAAGGGGACAGGCAGAGGCCTCAGTTGGAGAAGGACCGAGGGAGGCTGAGGGGAAGGAGACACTACAGTCATCCATGTGGTCAAAAGTACAGGGAAGAGTCAACAGAGCAAGAGAATGGGTATCCTCTGCTGCTGAAAGTGGGCTGGTCACCACCTGGGACATTGTTTAGCAGTTCCCATTAAAACCAAACATGTTTTAAATATGCTGTTCTAAATATGCACCCCACACTTGCAGAAAGACTCAGCCAAAAATGCAGCGGCCTGGCAGAGTGGATCAATTGTAGCAAATTGCTTGATCACTGGACAGAGTTCAAGGCTGCAGTGAGCTGTGTCTTGCCACTGTGTTTCAGCCTGGGTGATAGAGTGAGACCCCGACTCAAAAAAAAAAAAAAAAAAAAAAACCAGCTGGAAGGAAATACATGTAGATTTTGTAATAAAGGGATTATCTGGTGAAGGCACATATGGAATGGCTGAGTTCTGTGTAAAGTGCCCGAGGCTCACACTGCCTGGCAGGTGTGTGTAGTTGGTATCCTGTCAACGGTGTCCAGCCCCGTGCCCTCTAGAGTCCTTTATCCCTACCAAAGGAGCTCTGACCCAAATGCAGAACATGATGCTCTTAAAAGCTGGTAAGCAAGTAAAAATACAAAAGAAATGCCATAGACAAGCATGGTTTCCTCTAAGGTCAAGTGTCTACTCAGGTTAAAAATGTTGAATGTTGTTTATAGAAGGAGGCCTTTTCTGGAGAGTAAGTTTGGCAGTAGGCATCACAGCATTTTAAAATCTGCACATGCTTTTTGACACTTCAGTTACATTTCTAGAACTGTATCCTAAGGAAGTCAATAAAGATGAGCACAGATGTATTTAAGGTTGTTTATTCCAGCATAATCTGTAATGGCAAAGGAACAGAAAAGCTACAATCCCACAGTAATGGACAGCTAAATTAGGAAATGTGGGTGGAGCAGCACAGCAGTTAATCAAGTTGATAGAGAAGCCGACCAGGAAAAATTCCTGCAGCTACTCAGCAAAACCAACACTGTGTGTCCTGCTGTGATTGAGTTTAGAAACAATTACGTATGAACCCACAGAAACTGGAAGAAGATCCACCAAATGTTATGGAAATACACCTTCCTCCCAAGTTTTCAACTTTAACAAGGGAAAAAAATCTCATTCCAAAACCTTCCCCATTTGGGTGTGTGCCATGTGTTAGGTCCTAAGAAACAGAGGTGATAAGAGCACGCGTGGCCCTGGCCCAGCAGCAGGAAGCCAGATAGAGGGAAATTTTGTTTTAATGTGACTGCCACCAGAGAAAGTTAAAGGGACACTGTCAGAGACTGTTGATAGTAGCCCGGATGGAAAGGAGGCCAGATTCAAGAAACGCAAGAGAATAATCAAGAGGACTTGGGTAATTGGGGATGGAGAGACGGACGAGATGACCCCTGCTGTGTCCTGGGTACACAGGGTGCAGAGTCTGAGCTGGGTTATGTAGGCATTCAGGTGGGGACTCTGGGCAGGGCAGGAAGAGATAAGGGTGGGTCTGAAGGAGTACAAGAGAGGATGGCCCTGCACTGCACCATTAGAAGGTCAGCATCATGACCAGGGACATTAAGGACCCCAAAGTCCACCAGCCTGATTGGCAGAAGTGTTGTGTTTAGAGGGCTGAGGGGTTGGTGGGGAGGCCACCTCCTGGCCAACACGGGACAGAGTCAGGGGGTGCTTGCAGGGGCCCCTTGGGCTTCGGTTTGAGAAACAAAGGGCCTTGTGAGTTAAGGGACAGGCTCTGTGAGTGGAGAGTTGGGGGCTGGGGAGACGTAGGCAGTGTGCCCAGAGATGAGGGCACAACGGAAGCCAGCATCTCAGAGCCACCACCTTGAGGAAAAGAGAGAAAGGACACTGGCTCATGGGGCTCAGCAGACGGCAGCTCCCCTGAAGGCCTCTGGATATCCTCCAGGCACTGCTGCTGGGGACTGGGAACCCCCAAGGGGTGACCTGTAGGGCTGAGCTGGGGTCGGGGACAAGTCAGGCTGGGGCCAGGAGCAGTTATGGCCTCCAAGGGTGCGGTGGGTGGGCTGCGGCTGTTCCTTGAACAGTCCCCTCTATGCAGGATGGCAACACCCCTGTGACCTCAGAGGAGAAGGGATGTGAATGGAGAGCCTGGCTGAGCCTGGAACCCTAGGTCTGTGGGCCCAGACTTGACTCTGAGCCCTGGGGCTGGTCATTCTTTGCTCCGTTCATTCCAAAGAGAGCCTGTCTCCAAGAAAGGGCAGAGGAGGAAGAGCCATATGAGAAACAGTGCCTGAAAAGGCTTCTCACCCCACGTGCTGCTAGCAGGAAAGCATGGGCTGGGCCCACCCACCAGTTCAGTCTAGGTTCCACACTTGGAAATGTGCCCCTAGAGGATGGGGGAAGGAGAGGGCTGGGGGCCAGAGGCTGGGCAGGGGAATCACCTCGTTCTCAGCCAGCGCCTGCTTAGCCAGGTAGTACTCCCGCTTCACTTTGATCTCCACTGACTCTGGGATGTCTGGTACCAGGAGGTCAAGAACCCGGCCGATGGAGAACACCACGTGCTGGGAATAGGAGGCACCCACCCCACCCCTTGGTAAAGACAAATGCCTAGAGTGGCCTTCACGGGGCTAGACAGGCCTGGGCTCCAGCACTTGCTCCCAGATATGGGTGGAGCTACAGAACAGCTGTTCAGGACCCTCCAGAAGGGGCAGAAGTCACCCTCAGGTCCAGGGGCCCCTAGAGCTCCCATGCAGCCTCCCACAGTGCCCAAGGCATTCAAGTCCATACCACAACCAAGGGGCAAGGCTCAGCAGGGGAAACAAAGGTGCAGAGAAGAACTCTAATTTGACCAAAATGACAGTGGGAAGTTATTGGGTTACACTGACCCTCTCACACCACATGCTGGGATTAGGCAAAGCATGGGCGGGGGACATCATGCCAAGGACAGGGAAGCCAACAAAGGAAATGGTAGGTGCCTAGGCTACCTCAAACACGATGACAAAGGCCAAGCGAATGGCCAGAAGGTTCCAGTAGGTCCGGGAATAGTGTCCATCATCGTCCCGGAAACCCCGATACCTGCAGGAAATGTAGGACTCAGGGGGGAGCTGGGCTGAGTGCTGGCTTGGTGGCAGGTGCCTCTAGAGTCAGGTGCCTCTAGAGTCAGTCCTCAGCTTTTCCACCATTTCCCTCAGACCATGGTGTTCGGTGCCTGGCTCTCCACTGAAGGTGCCTGAAGTAAGAATTATACCCAAACGGGATACTCTGACAATACCTTTAACTTGAACTGGTAGATTCTGCTTTGGATGGGCTGGGTTGTCCCATCCCCCATTGGGCTACATTGGATCCCCACAACAGCAAATGTGACAGTCCTATGAATCTATGCTTCTACAAATGATGTCAGCCTACTTACATGGTAAAAATGTGCCAATCCTTGACCTCTGTAAGATCAGCAGTCTGCTCTGCTCAGAGACTGTGCTTGCCCAGCAAGGCTCTCCCTCACTATAAGCTACATTAAGCTTCACTTGCTGTTTCAGGCTGAGTGATCATCTTGTTATCCTGTCACATCTTCCTGTGTTTCCATCACATGGTAAAGATGTGACATTTTTACATTTTGTAATATAAGCTTACATGTTGCACTCCGTGAAAGCCATTACCAGGGCCAATTTTGTGAGAAGAGAAAAAAAACAGAAATCTAGAAAGTTAAAAAATAGTCATTGGGAAAAAAAACAAAAACCTCACCAAGTGCAATGGCTCACACCTGTGATTCCAGCACTTTGGGAGGCAAAGACAAGAGGACTGCCTGAGCTCAGGGGTTCATGACCAGCCTGAGCAACATGGTGAACCTCGTCTCTACAATCAAAACAAAACAAAACAAAATCAGTTGGATGTGGTGGTTCATGTGGTTCCAGCTACTTGGAAGGCTGAGGCAGAAGGATCACCTGAGCCCAGCAGGTTAAGGCTGTAGTGGCGTGAGTGTGCCACTGCACTCCAGCCTGGGTGACAAAGTGAGACTCCAACTAAAAAAAAAAATAGAAAAAGAAGTCCCTCAATGAATGGGATAAAGTTCAAGTAGCTAAACTGAACACAACAGAAGAGAAATTATGGGAATTGGAAGACAGTTATAATGAAATTACCCTGAATGCAATAGAGAGAGCCAAAAAAGACATAAGAATATGTAAGAGCACTCAAGAGACATGGAGGCGCCGGGCTCGGTGGCTCAGCCTGTAATCCCAGCACTTTGGGAGGCCGAGGTGAGTGGATTGCCTGAGCCTGCGGGTTCGAGACCTGCCTGGGCAACTTGGTGAGACCTCATCTCTACAATAAATCAAAAACTAGCCGGGCGTGGTAGCGCGCGCCTATAGTTTCAGCTACTTGGAAGGCTGAGGTGGAAGGATCGCCTGAGCCCAGCAGGTCGAGGCTGCGG